CCCTATAATCTTCTATCGATTGCTGAAAACCGCAGGTCGCTATGACTTTTTGTTCGAAAGTTATAAGCTTTTTTTCCAGGTGCCTTCTTTTAAAATTCCGATAGTAGTTCCTTTGTCTTCTCTCAGTCACTTACAGCTAATATGCACTATTATTATTTTATCTTCTGCTTTTGTATTTATTTACCATGGCAAGTAATTCATTTTCATTTTTGTGCTTCATATTTTATATAATTTAAATATTTATAATTATAAGCCATAATGCAGGTAGTATAAAAGAGAATTTGATTATTAAAATAATAGAATAAAATTATGCAAAATTATGAATCGATTCACTGAGTGGACGCAGGAAATCAATCGGTATAAAATGTAAAAATAGATAAATACTGTTATCGACCATCAATATATTTTCTTTTCACAATATATTCATTAATTTTCTTTATCGCTTACATCCACTTATTAGATAGTCAAAATTCTGATCGTAATCCTAATAAATTAATATCTTCTTTATAGAATGATACACTTGGTGAACTTCGATCGGGTTTTACCAATACAAGTTCTGACACGTCATCTATATTAATCAATACTCCATTCAGTAAATATCGTGGTTCAGTTGCATGGGTTGAAGGTTTGGAACAAAATCTTCATGTTATTGCTAAAGATCAATATCCAGGACGTGCTATGGGTGTATTTACAAGTGGTGGAGATGCACAAGGTATGTATTCGCTTAACACTATATTAATAACAAATGATTGGAAAGTTTTAGACAAGATGTTTGTTCACTTAGGATCCACTAGAAAGTATTTCCGATGAGTCAAAAACTATGAGTTTGTGCTCTGTTCAAATATGAACCTAGAAATTGAGTTCGAGAGTAGTGAAATAACGTTTGAAAAGTCAAATAAAAGTAGTTTCAACGGGAAATTCCTGCAAAATGCACTATTTTTTGTCTTTTGACAAGGTACCTTAATTTTCGTTTTTCCTAAATATTCATTTTTGGAAAATCAACAAGCGTTTTACGTTGAAAGGAGCTCTTGAAAAACTATTTGAGTAAAAGCTATAGCTTAGTTCAATATCGCCTTTTGTAGAGAATTATCCGCTCTACAAAACAATCGACTTCAACAATTTTTAGCATGTCCAAAAAGGGATTTATGAAGTAAATGACAACCTGTTTGCTCACCATTAAAAATAATCTTTTAAAAAATAAACACAACATTTCTAAGCTCATATTCAAAGTCTGGTTGCGACCTTTAGTTTTGGCTCGTCTAAAATACTTTCAAGCAAGTCAAAATGACTAAATACGTTCACTGGAAACGTTGGTCCACAAGTGCTGTCCAAACTAATTTTTTTCGATTTTTCAAAGATTTTTTCATTGAAGAAGCTATGAGAAATTAAATTAAAGCATTTTAATTTTATGCTTTTCAGGCTGCTATGACTTTCATATTTTTCATCCTTTAGGCTTTTTAATTCCTTCAGTCCTTTTAATCTCTTTAGTTCTTTTGGGTGTACGCCTATGAATAAGCCTGTTTCCTTTACTCATATTCAAAAGGACTAAACAAAAATATTCTTACACCTTTAAAAGATATGTAAGCATAAAAGTGAAACGGAATAAATTTGATTTCTTGTGAATCTATAATTTCATTACTCTCGAATAAAAACTCAGACAAAAATTTTAAGTTCATATTCGAAAAGAGCACGAACTCATAGCTTTTGACACGTCGAAATACTCTCTAGTGGGTTAAATGCCAACAAACATCTTGTAGGATGAGCTTTTCGATCACTCGTTATATGAGAATTTTAGTAAATATTATATTATTTTAGGAATGAATCCAGCCGTTCGAGCTATTGTTCGTATGGGTATTTATCTTGGTTGTAAAGTTTATTTCATACATGAGGTTAAAAGATTACATCTATTTGATAGAATCGAATAGTTTGATATTTTTATTGAATAGGGTTATCAAGGCCTAGTTGATGGTGGTAATAGTATTCGTCAAGCAACATGGGCATCTGTTTCTGGAATTCTTGATGATGTAAATAAATTTTAAGTTTTTGGTTTTTATTTTAATAAAATAATTTTATAAATATCTAGGGTGGAACAATTATTGGTAGTGCACGTTGTCAAGAATTTCGTGAAAGACCTGGCCGATTACGTGCTGCAAAAAATTTAATTGATCACGGTATTAATAATATTGTATGTATTGGTGGTGATGGATCATTGACAGGAGCAAATCTGTTTCGTAAAGAATGGGATAGTCTTTTACAAGAACTTGTTCAAAAAAGTAAATATGAAAGAATTTTTATTTTATTAGAAGAAAAATGTTCATTAATTTTCTAGATGAAATTACAAAAGAAAATGCTAATAAATATAAGCATTTAAATATTGTTGGCCTTGTCGGATCGATTGATAATGATTTTTGTGGTACAGATATGACAATTGGAGCTGATTCAGCTTTACATCGTATTATGGAAGCCATTGATTGTATTACAACAACGGCTTCAAGGTAAATATGAAAGAATTATTTTGATTGTTTTTAAAACTAATAATACTTTTTGTTTTTTATTATTATAGTCATCAACGTTGTTTTGTTCTTGAAGTAATGGGTCGTCATTGTGGTTATTTAGCATTGGTTACTGCTCTTGGATCAGATGCTGATTGGGTATTTATTCCTGAATCACCACCTGAACCAGGATGGGAAGATCAATTATGTAATAAACTTAAAAATGTAAGTTTTTAAATGTCTTCTTTCTAGTTATTATTATTGTTTTTTTTTAAATAGTCACGAGAAATGGGACAACGTTTAAATATTATTGTTCTTGCTGAAGGTGCTACTGATTATGATGGTAATCCAATAACAAGTGATGGTGTTCGTCAGGTAAAATTTGTTTTCTTAATAAATAATTAATTTCTAATAGATATTTATATCTAAGCTTGTTTCAAAACGACTTAAATATGACACACGCGTAACTATTCTTGGTCATGTTCAACGTGGTGGTTGTCCATCAGCATTTGATCGACTTCTTGTATATTGAAAAAATGAATCTTCTGTATACATAAAGTTTTTCATTTTCTATTTAGGGTACACGAATGGGTGCAGAAGCTGTTCTTGCATTAATGGAAGCTACACCAACATCACAACCAGTTGTTATTGCTCTTAGTGGTAATCAAACAGTTCGTGTACCATTAATGCATTGTGTAGAAAAAACTTTGGCCGTTGCTGAAGCAATGAAATCAAAACGATTTATCGAAGCTCAAGAGTTACGTGGCAGAAGTTTCAAGGGAAATCTTGAAACATATATTTGTCTGAGTAAATTAAGACCAAAATTATTTTCTAATAAACAGGTATATAGGTTTTTTTTCTTACGTTAATTGCGAGTTTTAAGATAAACAACTGTGATCGAGCAAATAAATTTGTGTACGTCTTCACATGTAATTATTTGCGACATTTACTCTTGCAGCTAATAAATTAAATTAATGATCAACAAAGTATTAATATGAATTCAAAATCAACAAAACTTGAAATAATAATCTTTTATTCCTTAAAATTATTATAAAATATTTATTTAAAAAGTATCATTGCAATCTCTGCAAGATTAAATGTGTTCATACGTACTCCGTGATGAGATATTTTTCATTGAAATGTGCCATCATTAGAGACGTGTCGGACCAAGTTTTTTTGGTCCCAGGCATAGCCCAGATAATTCTAGCTTAGTCCCGATCCCGACCATAGTTCCAGTAAATCTAGTCTAGTTCCGCTTCCGATCATACCCCAGTAAATCTGATCTAGTCTCTGTATCAGTCGTAGCCCCGGTTAACGGAGCCTAGTCTTGACCTCAGTAACTTGTTTTCTAGTGGTTCCCGTCATGGCCTCGGTAAATCTAGTCTGGTATCGATCCCGGTGATTTTAGCTTTTCGGATCTTGGTCTCGAGAAAACTAATTCAGAATTTATTTGTATCACGTCTAAAAAAATCCTTCAATACTCATTGTTTTTTTATTTATTTAGATAACAACTAACACTTTTTTGAATCGTCTCTCTTAATTTATGTTCCGATTGGAATGATGTAACATGCGATGCAAAAGTCTTTGCACAAAAGTCGAGCTTTACAGTTCAGTCATTTTATAAGCTACAGAGTTACTTTTTTTTTATTAGAAAGAGCACGAAAAACACTACAAAAAAAAGTGTATTTATAAAACTGAATACAAATTCTGCGGCCACATTGTCCTAAGCTTTTTTCAAATACCCTCAACAATTGCTTGCAACATTTTTTGATCAAGTTCTTTTGCTTTCTGGTTGATCCTTCGAGTTAATGCATCCAAGCTTTTTGCATCTCATTTATTTTCATATACTTTTCGTTCGAGTAGAGATCAAATGATTTCAATTGGGCGGGCTTGAGGCAAGTTTGGAAGATTATCTTGACGACGAACGAACGGTGCATTCTTCTTGTTCCTACGTTCCTGTACAGCACGTGAATAATGAGCACTCGTCAAGTCGGGTCAGAAGAGATAATTTCTATTTTGATGATACTTTTCGATAAAAGGAACTATCTGGATCGAACAAGCACGATTGTAAACGATCGTATACCGAGAAATATGACTATGAAATACATGTCTCAGTATTGCGATCGTAAATCTCTGTGTCGTATACGAAGTAATACGGTAATATACAGAGAGAAATACGGCCATTTATGATCTGTGTACACGAAGTTCGTATACTGTCTTCGTTTTGCTCTGTATTTCTCTACAAGCGATCGTATTTCACCGTATACAGTCACGACGATATACGATCGTAATACTGAGCCATATATTACGGTAAAGTACGATCGGAAACAAACGTGCATGGGCCGTTTCTCTTTGTATACGGACTCCGTAAATCTCGTTCTGGGAAGTCTTTTGCTGATACATTCATCGAGATATCCAATTTGACAAACAGCTTGCCTACTTCAGTGAACGTACACATCAGAAACACTTTTGAAGGATAAGTCTATCCAAATCATTACGTTCGGTTCGAATTTTTCTTCTTTTGAAATTAAATGCCTGGTGAAACTATAGCTGAATCAGTAGAATAGAAAGATCGATCGCCACTTACGTTATCTTCACACAATTTGAAGTATCTTCCATCATCTAAAATCAGATCACATTCATTCAACAATTTTCCTCATTTTTTTTTCTGCCTTGCGTTTCTTGATCTTCATTGTTCATTTTCGAAGCCCTTCGACGTTTTCTGATAATTGTCATTGTTCTTCTTTGATGATTACGTGAAACGGTTGACTGATGTAATTGAAAACGTCGTGACATTTTACGTCGATTAAAGCCACATGAATTGTTTACAGCAGTGTTGCAACCGGTAACGGCAAACGACCGATTCGATCCGATAGAGGATTCCTTATCGGTCGGTAGACACAAGTTTTTCTGTACCGACCAGTATAGATTTTTCTGAGTTTTTGCATTTTTCTTTTTCGAAAAAATTTATTATAGAGGTGTTTTTTCGCATATCAAACCAGTTTTACTAATGTCAATGACTATTTCTATGGGGAAATATGTATTAGAATATTTCTATTAAGTGAATATTCATCAACATACGTCTAATATATTCTATCAAGTCACTTCGACCCAGGCCGATGACTTTGGTGCTCGGGTCTCACCGGAACTCGCCAGAAACGGGCAATTTTCCGGTCTATTCCGACCGGTTCTAATATCTTTCCCTTCGGAAATGGCCCGAAATCATCGAGCCCGGAACCGGCATCTGATGAACATTTCCAATAACCGAGAAGTCGAAGAAACACATTTGGATCCTAGTGTAATCCATCAGAACAGAGATCGAAACCCGTGGGTTTCGCCAGGAAATACACATGTAACCCATCGAATTATTGCGGAAGTTCAACAGAAATAACCGTATCCAACTTAGACATTTGGGAATCATTACTATTGCAAAATTTCATCGCATCTTGAAAATACAATGACAAACAGCACGTTTTAAATAAACAATCCCAAAAATATTCTTTCGATCAACAAGGAAAGCCATAAAAATCTGCTTAAATGAAAAACCAGTCTCAGAAAGATATCTTTTTCATGTATACATGAATTCTGAGGTATTTTTGAGACGGCGCTTACGAAAACACTAGAAAAAAACTTTTTAAGACCTTTTTCGAAGTCATACTGTGATTTTACGGTATTTTTGACACTTACAGTAGTATTGTAATAAGAAAATATTCTTAAAGATTTTTTTAGATCTTTTTCGAATACCTGGTAAGTTTTTCCGCTTTTTCGATGTATGTGAGGTCTGAATTGTGTTCTTGTTTGGAATAAGTCGTTTCCTTTAGCGACAGAAGACGAGCACGTCGGTGTTGCCAGATTCATTTCTGTATTTTAAATTTGTGGGGTAAACATCTGTCTGTGTGGAAATCTTGGATAGATTCATTTTAGTGATAAGGATTTTTAGAATATTAAAAATCATATCTGTTTCTCACCTGCACAAGTGTGCGAAGTATCTGTGGATGCGACTGTAAGTCGTAAAGATGTTATTATGATGCTCTGGACTCACCTACTATCGTGGAACTTTGATAGAGAATTTTATAGCTTTTAATCGATTTGTAATCCATGTTAGTATCAGCTGCGTTAAGAGTTGAATGAACTGAAATGGAACGTGCGCACCTATATATAGAGTGTACGTCGTCCGTTTATGAATAGCTTGACTGGTGTGGCCTGATGATTCATAGTTGTTTTGAGACCTTTTATGAAGTGATGATCTCGAAGAACTTTCGATTTAGTATTAAGATGTTGGGTTGTTCAAAATACGATGGTCGACATAGATTTCGGCTCGTCCTCACTGGTTTTCACCTGTTATAGGTAAATCTAAATACTCACAAAAAAATTAAGAATAAATCGATCAGAATGTGATTAAAAATTGATTAAAATCAGCCGATTCGAATAGATTATAGTTTTAGCATATTATTTGTATTTCACTTGAAAGAACCGATTTGAATAGATTTTGGTATGAAAAAATGAACTATAATAGGTTCAATAGAAAAGAGAATGAAGTCAACTAGATTTGTAATAGATTGTTTAGGTTGTATATGAAAAACCCGATTTTATTGGATTAAAAATGAAATCGATCGAAACCAATTATTGCATTGGATTTGATCGAAAATTCGGTATTTACTCGATTTTCTGTTAATTTTTCTCAAATATCGGCTTTAGTCTGAGTTTTCAGAAGTTTTTTCTAAATGCGCACTCTCAACAACTTTCCCCGACAAATCAATTGTAAAGTACCGATATTATTTAACTAGAAGGAACAGGTTCTGGGCTGTATCCTATCATGTCCGGTTGCCCAATTCGGGCTTCGGAGCCGAAACGAAAACAACTAGGCCTGGACTTCATAACCGTATCAAAAACGGAGAGAATCTAGATCGGATTCTGTTATCGTGATAAAACACGGAAACCTTGACTGAGAACCGCATCGAAAACGGTAACCGTATCCGATTGCAGAAATTAAGCGGGAACCGGTAACTAGAACTAATTCAGGAATCTCGCTTCCGGAATTTGCTGGAAATTCACTGAATTCGACGGTTTCTCGCCGTACGTTTCTGATCTGGGCGATATCAAGTTATATTATCGAAACAGAATGGACTCACTGTTAGCTATTGTAATTTATTATATAGTTATCTTCACTTCGTATTATTTGTACTATATCTTTTGCAGAGACACAAGAAATGACAAAATGAATCTATTGTGAGATACAAAGTACATCTACAGTTGGTTCAGAATTTCTATGTTGGGCGAACATTTCATTAGTATACAAAGCTAATATAGAATTTGTAGTCCTATGAAGATTTATGTTCATCGATCGATGCTAACATAGAGAAAACTTAAGAAAATAGATTGTAAATGAAAAGCTTTCAGCGCAATTCCTACGGGATTAAAATATGAAACATGATGAAGCTACTTTAACTATTGTGGGAAACCCAATGGAAAAAAACGAAAATTTCGTACTCCGGCATACTCCAAGAGTATGTTAAAGCTATCCTCTAGAACTTCGTATCTATTTCAAGTATACTATCGACGTGTGTCACGAACATATTAGTTTTAATTCATTTTATATAAGCCTGTCTGCCACTAAAGTCCAAATAGTGTATTGTACTTCACTGATACTCACATCTTGAAGTACAATGAAGTATATGGACATAATGGTCAGATAGACTTTTATAAAATGAACTCAAACTAACATGCTTGTAACACGAGTTGATACTAGGCTTGAAATGGCTAAAAAGTTATAAAGAATAGTTTTGATATACTCTTGAAGTGCGATGAAATACAGAATTTCCGCTTTTTTTCTCTTCGTGAAATTTCATCATCTCTATGACAGACCATGATGATACTGAAAATCAACATGTCGAAAAACTTTCTAGGCTGTTTTAGACACGTCAAAGTCTCTGTTAAAGTTTGTCAGTAGGTTAAAAGAACATCGGCATGTTTGTCACCACGTTTGGAGCAAATCGAAGGAGATGGGATCAATATTTGTGCCATATAATTCAATATTCATTAGCAATGATGTTTCACAAAAGCATTATAATAGTGAAACAGAAGCATTACGTAATTTCTATAGCGATTTACAAGTAAGCCTGACTAACCGAGAGGTTGGTTTGACTATTACAGGCTGAGAAAAGTGAAAAATAACTCATGCCAGTCTGACCCGCTTAGACCACCACTGATTCCGGTAAGGAAAATACTATACCGGTTGCAACACTAGTTTACAGATTTAACAATGCTTTTCAGAGTTTCGCTGGATAATATCACTGAGTAACCACTTCGAGGTTGATCTTTCATGATTCTATATTTTAAATACTTGTATAGTATGTACTACATGGTTTTTCGTAGAATATTTTGCTTTCTAAAATAATTGACTGGAGGTTTTATAGAATTATTAGAAGAATCACGATAGAACTTGCAAACACGTTCTGCAAATGCTTCTCTTTCGTTACGTGTTATTATTGTTATGAACAAGTAGTAACAATTAATCGTATATTGTTCGTAAGAGGAAGGAACGAGCTATAAGTTGATTACAAAATATTCAGTCAAACGTGTGTTTGTCCGCCCAAAAAAGGACTTGACATTTGTGCAAAGACTTTTGTATTGCATGTTATAAGATAATTTGCTTAAAATCATAAAATATTTACCTATAATCTTTAGTCCCGGTTAGCACACATTTTTTTCTCGTAGTCCTAGTCTCGGTAATGTTTCTTTCCCTTGATCCCGATTCCAGTCCTGGTAATCGAAACTAAAATTGGTCCTGCACATCTCTAATCATCATATATGAGCAAAATCGAATGACAAATATTTTAATTCTTACTTCGCTTCTATCATTTTCTTTATAGTCAACAAAAGTATATTTCATGTTCTATGAAGATGATTGAAGTTCAGGAGTATATTATAATTACAAACTAATATATCATATGCTGTTAGGTGCAGTAAATGGAGCTGGCCCGAAACTCACTGTGAACAAGGATTATATGCATACGCATATTAGTAAAGGCAATATTTTACGATATATTAAAACGAAACTTTGTTTTACACGTAACTATTTTCATTTACGAGTTGTCAAAGTAAGTATGGGTCGAGAGAAATATTTGAAAATTTTCTGCACGATTGTGATTTTGTTTCCTGTATGCTATTACTGATCAAGAAATGCGTTTTTGCTAGTGTCTGATTCCTTTGAAAGACAAATATATAAAGAAATTATAATGTCCTGCTTATTTTAAAAATTTTATAATATATTTTTATTCTCTCTAGCATTCCTTTAATTTGGCTATGCTTAATGTTGGTGCACCTGCTTGCGGTGTTAATGCGACTATACGTGCTATTGTTCGTTTTGGTCTATGTGAAGGACATAATATGTTTGCTGTATTCGATGGATTTGAAGGTTTAGTCAATAATCAAGTATGAAATATGAATTTTTTTTTAAATCAAAAAAAAATGTATCTATTTGATAAATTTTAGGTTAAAACTTTACAGTGGATGGCAGTCAATGGTTGGAGTAGTGTTGGTGGTTCATTACTTGGTTGTCAAAAGTAAATGAAAATGAAACAAAAACATATTAAAAATAAATTATTTTTCTTTTAATCTTATGTAGAACAAGTGCAGGTAAAGTTGGTTTATCATTAATAGCAGAAAGAATTCGTGAACATAATTTTCATGCATTATTAATTATCGGTGGATATGAAGTAAAGAAAAAAAAGAATTTCAAATATTTTATTTATTAAATTATATTTTTTTTAGGCTTATGTATCAGTTCTTCAAATGTATGAAGCACGAAATAAATATCCTGAATTTCAAATTCCACTTATTTGTCTTCCTGCTACTATTTCAAATAATGTACCTGGTACAGAATTTAGTATTGGTACTGATACTGCACTTAATGAAATTGTTAAAGTTTGTATTCAAAATTAGTAGAAGAACGAAAAAAATTAAATATTCTTTTTCTTGTGTTAATTAAGATTTGTGACAAAATTAAACAATCTGCCCAAGGTTCTAAACGACGTATATTTGTTATTGAAACTATGGGTGGTTATTGTGGTTATTTAGCTACAATGGCTGCCCTTGCTAGTGGTGCTGATCAAGCATATATATATGAAGAACCATTTACAATAAAAGATTTAATTGATGATGTTGATCATTTACGTAAAAAAATGGAAGGACATTTAAAACGTGGTTTATTACTTCGAAATGAAATGGCTAATGAACATTATTCAACTGATTTTATTACAAAATTATTACAAGAAGAAGGTAAAGGTGTATTTAGTGCACGAAGTAATGTCCTTGGTCATATGCAACAAGTAAGTTAAAATTTATTTGATTATTTTTTTTTGTTTGTTTTATAGATTAAAATTTCAATTTCATTAGGGCGGTTTACCATCACCATTCGATCGAGCATTTGGCACGAAATTAGGATGTAAAGCGGTTACATATGCAGTATCATTAATTGAAAATGCCGCAACAGAGGAAGGAAAAGTTGTTTGTAATACTCCCGAAAGTGCTGTTGTATTAGGTTTGGTTAAACGACAAAATACGATTACACCTGTTGAAACACTTAAATCCAACACTGATATTGAGTAAATAATTGATGTTGTTTTGGTTCATTTAGACTTTATTTATTTTTATCTAGACATCGTATGCCACTTGAACAATGGTGGCTTAAACTTCGACCATTACTTCGTATTTTAGCTAAACATGAAAGTGTATACATAGGCGACTTCGTCGAAACGGGTGTTGATGAAGTGGACTAGTAACCATAGATCTTTCAAGCCTTTGTTTTTGGTAATGAACCTCGAATACCATTATATGTACACACTTGAATTATATCCAAATACACTATTCTTTATTCTCTATTTTTACAAACAACGAAAAGTGTATTAACTTTATTTTCTTTCTTCTCTTGCTTTCTATACATCTTGTAATTTATAGAATATGTTGTCTATATTTTACCGAGTTTCTTTCCTTACTTTAAAAAAAATATACAAAGAACCTATCGTTTATCGATTGAATCAGAATGATTTATTATTCATTAATTATATATTTTCACTGGTGAAGAATGTTTTATCGATGTAGTTGACCGATCACTAAATAGTACGAGTGATTTGTAACACAACTATTAATAGTTTCTTTTTTCATGCTTATTACACACACACACACTAAGCAATAGAAATGCTAGACTTACCCATATACACTCAATCTTTTTTGACATATAGTATAATTAGATGAAATGAGAGATGAAAGAAACTCAATGGTATGAGTGAGATATATAAAATCTTGTTCATCTACATATATTAAATATGACAAATAAGTTTTCAGTCTGTTCATTGTATCTAACAATAGTACACAAAACATATTAAAAATAGAGAATCATGTCTATTTATTTGATTGTTATTTTTACTATTTTGTTTTGCTTATGAATATCATTGGCTCATGCTGACCTCATAGAAGTGCGCACGCAAATAATATTGATTTTAGCCTCATAAATTAATCAATGTCCACTTGACAGTAGAACAAAAATACTTACAATACATTTTAATTAAATTTCAAGCATTCATAGTTATTGTTTTCTGAGAAAAGATCATGTAGACGAATTCTGAAATATATGTGAGTTGTCTTTGAAGATGTGTATTTCGAATGGAATCCAATGATGATGACGACAACTTAGAAATAGAAGTTATTTATCTAAGATTGTTTCATATGTGAAAAAAAAAGAAAAGCTCACATACAATATATATATATATCTTTTTTTGGTCTCGTATCGATGCATTTTACTACCTTGAACGATCAAATGAGTGTCTGCATTTGTGCAAATAGTCATTGCACTTTTACTTGAATATATATAATTATATATCTCGTTTTGCTTGGTTTGTATCACTTCGAGTGTTTCTTTTTCTTTTACTTGGTTTGAGTACAACTGTTTCAAACGTACATGTATGACGCCTGAACAAAGAGAATAATTGAGAAAGAATGACGATTTTTTCTCAACCATTATAACAGACATTCAATTATTGGCCTCTTCTTTTTTTTCTCGTTCGGCATAGTATGCCATCTAATCTCCGATTGCGGTCTTACTCATTGGTCTTTTTCTTTGTTGCCTTTTTTTCTTTTTTTTATTTATAGATGATTGATGGGTGTTGCTGTTCTGTTTGACCATTAACACGTCTTACTCATTCTTCTTCGTCTACTTCGCTTACTGTTTTACTTTGGCTACTGACTATATTGTATCTCTAACTATTGACAAAAATAATTTTTTTTAAACATCTTTCTCTCTCTACCGATTGATCAATAACGAATAAGACGACGATGACAACTCCTGACAGTGGTGATCATGCACAATTGAAAGATAAAAACACAACATCATCAACACTAAATAGTAATAGTAGTGGTAACAATATGAACCAATCATCAACTTCTACTACTTCAGTAACACAAGAGGCGATTAGTAATGAAACAACAACTTCAAAACCGCAAGAATCATCATTCGAACAAGCCTTCTTCTTTGGTTTAACTATTGATGATGCAGTTAATTCAACTGACAATCTTATGGAATTATTTTATAATGCTTGCAAATTTAATCATTTAGAACTCGTAAAAAGATGTGTTGAAGAAAAACATGTTAATGTTAATGAATTATTCAATAATGATTATCCATTATGTATTGCTAGGTAAGTCACTTAAAGATTAAAGATTTTTCTAAGAAAATTTTTAAAAAACAAAATAAAAAATATTACACTAGTATATTTGTTTCTATCGTGTTTTTTTTCTGTTTTAGCCATAAAGGTCATATTGAAATAGTTCGTTATTTATTGGCTAATGGTGCTGATGTTCATCTTAAACGAGAACTTAATCTATCAAATGCACGCAGTAATAATCGTTTAACACGTGCCAATGTAACATATGGTGATAGTCCACTTTCACTTGCAGTCAAATATGGTTTTGAAGATATTGCTATTGAACTTGTTGAACATGGAAGTGAGATATTAAATGCTAACAATGATTTTGAAAAATCTCCTTTACAAGATGCTATTCGACTTAATCGTATTCGTGTTTTAAATGTTTTTATTGATAAACTTAAAAAAACTAAAGGAACATCAAATTATGATGAATCATTATTATTACAGAAAAAAGGTGATATACTTCGACAATGTCTTATTAATGATCAAATTGATGCATTACGTATTTTTGTACCTAATGTATGGGAAGAACTTAACAGTGATTTTATGTTTACTGTATTAAGTAATCTTATGTTAAAAAATAAAATTCAATCAGATAGAGCATTTGAGGTATTAGAAACGATACTTGATGCTATTCCAACATCAAAATTAAAAATGTATGATTTTGGTGATTTACTTCGACGATTTTTACATATTTTACAGGCTCAATTTGTAACAATTAATGATGATCGAATTCAAATACTTTATTTACGTACATCACTTCTTTTTACTATACTTAAATATCATGAAATAATTGATTTTACTAAATATTTGGACTTATTAGATGTTTATTTTCGGGCTATTTATAATAGTGTTGAAAATACAGGTGAGAAAAAATAAATATATTTTGAAGATAAATTGATATTTAACGATATTTTAGGCGAAGGAGTCAATCAAATATATGAATATATCGTTCGTTTTTATGACAATCTTATTTTAATGGGTCATCTTATTCTGACGAATAATACCGTTATATTAAAATTACTCGAATGTGAACATGTTCAACGTATGCAACCAATTGATATGTATCTATCATGGCGTGCACGTAATCCATTTTTACTCAAAGAGAGTTGTCGTCTTATGATCAAAAATAGATTACCGACTTACAAACGTGCTATACTCGAAAAATTAAATCTTAATGACGATACGTTATCATATTTATATTATCAACGATAGTCATTTAACATTATCATATATACTCGCAATAATACTATTCAGTGTTTCTTAGTCGTGATACAACAACAATAATATTCTCTCTATGTATGCGTATTTGTCTGTTTGATCTTTCTATTGCTTCAGTTTGTATTGAACAATAATAAAATAACATGAGATACTTAAATATGGAAGAATACACCTATTTAAATATTAACAAATTTCAAACATAACAGTGTGTGTGTGTGTGTCTTTGTCAGCTGTCCTATTTCTTTTTGTGTTTCCTTTAAATTTATAATTATCGTCAAATAAAATAGAACAATTTGAAACAAAGAAAACTGATCAATACAATTATTATTTAATATTGTTTGATAGTAGAGTATTTTTAGATTGAAATGGCAAAAAAAAATATTCGTAATGCTTTTCAATCGTTTATGCATTGGATTTCATCATCAAACGATCAGAGTTCAACAGATAATGTATCGAAAGTATGTTGGATTTTTCATCTTCCATCTGAACTTCTTCAAACTATCACTGAATATTTAAATGTTCGTGATATTATTTCTTTGAGTAAAACTTGTCGATCGTTTTATATACTAATTAATGATGATAATTTTTGGATTCATCGTATACATTGTCAATTTCCTCAATCTATTTCTAAACTTTATACATTAGATTTATTTCAAGAACCTGAAAATATTCTAACTCAAGATGAAGTTCGTCCATCTGGTTTCGATCATAACAGAGGTGATCATGAACTTGATCTTGCTGCAATAAATTCAGCTACACATTATAATGATGAAGCTATTGAAAAGCGTCATGCTAAAATGTATATATCAAAAGAAAATTTTTTAACTAATCTACAATATTTTCAATATAAAAAACCAAAAAATATTCTAGAAATTCCATTTATGAAATTAATCTATTTTTATTTAATTGATCGAAAACGAACTTCAGTCGTTAATATGTATGTTATTCATCGTAATGATCGTTATCTTGTCGAATATAATGATAAAGATAGTTTAATAGGTCGTATTATTCGTTTAAACCAAGTATGTTGGCTTGAGATAAGTGGTCGTTTTGAATATGATATTATGCCTGGAAAATATGAAGTTATATGGCGAATGAAAGGTCATTCAAATCATGTCAATATATGGGGAGAAACAGAATTTATCGTTGTACCATTGCATGGAAAAATGTTAATTCATAAAATATCTGAAAATGATTTTCAAAATTATACACTCGAACATGGTACTCATTGGTTTTCAATTAATATGGGTCACATTATAATTTATGAACTTTCAACAGTTTTCATGGGAATACGCAATTGGAATAATGGAAATTGGAAAACAGGCATTTCATGGGATTGTATCGAATTGAAACTAATACCATAATATTGTATATAACTTATTGTTTATTATACTAAATCTTATACAACATTTTTGTAAAACATGATTTAAAATAAATGCTGAAGTATAAAGATAGACATCTGAACTCCCCCTTCCGTATTAACTGTGACAACAACTCTCTGATCCATTGCAATCTGTGGCAGACTTAGCCATGGAACTAAAGCCTTCTATAGGATTATTATGAAAGAAGATTGAATTCAAAATACCAGTCCTTAGTCTTCCTTTTAAACTCACTGTAATATATTACGACTAACAACTTTTATCACGATTATATTAATACATATATATATATATATATAGATCAATGATATTTCACATTATTTTAATCACATAAGTATTTGTACTAACTGCTTTTTCTCTTGTTCAAAAGAAATAAAATACTCTTATTCATGTTATCAGGATTAGCATAACATAGCCAAAGAAGAATATTGATAGATGGCATTGGTGAACAGTGATAATAAATCAAATCAATTTCAT